GAGTCTAATTAAGTCTTTAGATATAACTTTAAATTTTTTTTACATATTAATTCATATTCTTATTCATTTTTACTTACTTGAGAAGTTATTTTTATTATCCATGTTCCCTGTGGAATATAAGCTCCAACAGCACAAGGCCTTGTACTGATGAGTCAACACTCCTTTCTCATGGTCTGTTATCATGTTTGAACATATTAGGTTTTCAATACAAATGTATTAAATGAATAAATGAATGAACGAGTTATTTTAACCTCACCAAACTTGTTTACACGTTAGGAAATAATCACTTGTCTTTAGAATTTAAGGCAGTCTACAGTAAAATCAGCTTGGTTTCTTCAACCAGCTCATGGCATGGAAAAAAAAGAGAGGGGAGGAATCTGTTCTAGATTAAAAGAAACTGAAGCAACTTAACAACCAAATGCAAAGTATAAATTATGTAATCCTGATTCAAGCAAACATTAGAAAGGCATTTTTCTGTTATAATTGGGAAAATTTGAGTAGGATTAGATAATAATTGATACAAGAAATTACTACCGATTTTGTTAAGAATAATAATCAGGTTGCAAGTATAAAAGAAAATGTTCTCACATTTTAATTTTTTTCTAGTTTCCACTTTTATATTCAGGTGGTACATATGCAGGTTTGTTACATGGGTATACTGCATGACAGAGTTTTGGAATACAAATGATCCCATCACTCAGGTAATGAGCATAGTACTTAGTAGGTAGTTCTTCAGCCCTGTATATTTAGGTGTGAATTTCATGATATCAAGGATATCTCTTTAAAATACTTCAGCACAAACAGATACTCACACAGATGTGATAGATAAAGCAAATACAGAAACATGCTGATAATTACTCAATTTGATGGGAGATATTTGGGCTTCATTTTATTTCTTCCATTTTTGTGTATGTTAAAATTTTTTAGGATATAAATTTATTAATACAATAAAAATAAAGTATCTGTGAATCTTCCTTTTTCTCCCTTGTCCCATAATTCCACATGTGATTCTATTGATCCTCACCTCCTAGACGTATCCTGGATTCCTTCAATTTGCTCCATCTCTGTTGGTGCCATCCTGGCCCCAAACACCATTAGCTCTCTCCTCATATACCAAGAAGCCTGCTCATTGGTCCCTCTCCTCTTCCCTAAAATATATTCTTCACATAGCAACCAAAAAATTAATGGGCCAATGTTACTTCCTTCTTAAGATCTTTCAAAGGCTTCACTCTTAGTATAAAAAAACCTAAAACCTATCTCCGGTTTATAAGATCTGCCCCCCTGCCTACTTGTCTGACTTACTTCATCTTCCAACACTTTTCCTGTGTCCTCATCATTCCACCTACGCTACCCTAAATTGTATTCCTCCAGCATACCAACGTCTTCCCAATCTCAGGGACTTTGCAGTCATTCTTTCTTCCTGGCTTGATGCTGGTGTGTCCGTACCGCTCAGACATCTGCTTAAAGGTATCTCATCAGAAAGACCACCCAGTCACATGATCCCAGCACCTTCCTTTAACTCTCCAGATAATACCTATCATGATACCATCTATTTTGTTGTTTTATCTTTATTAATTTTACTTAAGTATTTATTTATTTTTACTATCCATCTATTACCATGTTTGTCACATAATAGGTGTTCAAAACAAATGGTTAAATGAATAAATAAATGAACAAGCTATTTTAACGATCAAACTTGTTTCTATGTCTGTAAAATTAAAATAACAATACTTCCCTAAGAGGGGTATAAGGGTTAAATGAGATGTTGAACAGAGAATGTCTTGTCCAATCCTTAGCATACTAAAGATGTTTTATATATGGTATCTATAGCTGAGCAAGAGAAGTCAGACTTCTCCCACTTTCAAGAAAGAATGCATAGTGTATAATTCTATTTATACAAATTCTAGAAAATGCAAGATAATCCAAAGTGACAGAAAGAAATTCATGGATTCCTTGGGAAGAAAGGGTTAGGTAGGAGAGCTAGGCATAAGAAATTTGGGGGAGGTAATGAATATGCTCATCATCATAATTGTGGTGATGCTTTATTAACCACAATGTACATATCTGTCTAAATATTTCAAATTGTACACCTCTAAAATGTGCAGTTTATTGCAGGCTTATCACACATTATTGCATTTATTGCATGCTCGTATACTCAAAGCTGTTCTTACTCTGTACCTGTTTATTCCTGGAGTGGAAGGTAATGGGCCTGCTGAGACTGGGCAGGCTGCCCCCAAGTACCGAATCTATGCTCCGTGCTCCAAAGGCCCAGCTAAGTTCTAACTATTGCACTGAGAAGTTCTCCTAAGTGGAGCAGGTCTACTGACTTTCTGCCAATATGCAGCTTTATAAACACGTGAAACCATGTAAAATGTGTTCTGTGCCTTCTCAAGAAAGAATATGCTAGAGCAACCTGATTATCCCTCTACATCAGACAATGCCCATGTGCCCAGCTTTAGAGCTGACCACTCTCATGCATACACAGTATCAAAGCTGAGCAGTTAAGTCAACTTCTCCAGCAATTGTGTAACTAATGATCCATGTGTATAACTGCTTTAATCTCTATGGATAGTGTTCCTTTAACTTACACCAAATTTCAGGTGAATGAGTGTGCTTACTTTATTTGACAATCACTTATCATGCCACTAATTCAGGAGGTTATTTTCACTCCTAGAGCTCCTTAGCTTTTTGTTGTAATCACAGCCAATAAGGCCCATGGCCCATGAAATTTTACATAATCCATTTTTCTAAATAAATCTTATTCTTTGGCTCTCTGTATATCCTATACATCAGCCATGTTGTATTGCTCCATTTCCTGAACATCATCCTGAGCATCCTCCTGAGCATTTGATTTTCCACACCTTTGCTACCTTGAATAATCCAGCACAGAGATGGCCTATGGTATTTACTTACTCATTTATGTGCACCTACTAGGTCCTAATAATTTGACATGGCAGCTTTGCAGAGGGAATAATAAAATAAATGTGTATCGAAATTTGAAGAGTATATTTTGTCAAAGGAAAATGAAATATTGGGATTTTTCATTTTGTGGACCTCTTGTTTAAGAAAATGTTGCCAGGAGCAGGTAGGGGTAGGTTCAGGGCTGATTCTATAGTCTCTGCTATTAAAATGTGTCTGCTGCAAGTCCCTGCAGTTTTATGATACTTAAGGTATATTCTCCTTAAAAATCAGCCATACCAGATTATGCATTCTATGGAGTGCTGAAATATCCTTAAAACAGCCATGGATGCAGATATATTTACAGTTGTAATTAGTCCTCCTGACCTCTGCCTTGTAAGTCATTCTTCCTAGCTTTCTTCAATTGAGTCTCACTCAACTGTGGGAACCAGCACTCACCAACAGTCTTACCCCAGCTTGTAAGTGAATCCTTGTGGGTCATTTCCTTTGAAAAGAAAACTGATAGCAAAAACAAACCTAGATCTATCTGAGGCAATGATTTCATATATTTTTCAATGATGTACAGGTAGTTAAATGTTGAATGTTGGTACACAGAGGATAAAAAATCAGTATAAAATTTCTTCACACCTGCATATTGAAAGCACAAGAGTTCTTTGTCCTACTAACTACAAAGACAATGGGATGTGCCATGCAAAGGGGTGAACAGTGTAGCCCAGTCAGGAAGATAGAGCCAAACAGGATTAAGAATAATCTTTAGTGCAAAGGTAGATATAAACAAGAGGCAAGGAAGCACTTGCCTCATACTAAGGATGGATAATACTTTCAGATGTACCTTACAGTTTAGAAGATTCGAAAGATTATTTTAGACAATTCATTTATATATACAGCCACAACCTTGAGAACTTCAGGCCATGTCATTCTATTAAAAAATTCTGTATCAAGAAGGAAAGGAAAATGTAAGTAGTGTAATAACTGTTTGTATTTGTTAGGTTATATTGTATTATGAGAATAGACACTAACATTTCTGAAGCAAAAATTGAGACACAATTTGACAAATATATGTTTATGTAAATTATAAAACACAAAATCTGAAGGTATTATTTACCCTCAGAAAAACTGGTTGTTATGGTGGCTGTATCTATATGCATGATATTTTTAAATTATTTGTAAATGGGACATATGCAGTAGGCATTTAGTAAAAAGTTGTTGAAATCAATTCAGCTCATCAGTCAGTAAGCAGTTATTGTGCAACCACTGGGATAAAGACAGTCAATGCAATTTTACATAAATTTAACAGTGTGTGGTTCTGACTAATTAGAAGAGTTATTAGCAAATACTTTGACTATATTAAAATCATTTTAAATAGACTTAAATCTTTACTTTTTGTCATCTGCATCTGCTATTATTACATTGATAAAGTTAGGCAAATCCAGATCTACAGGTTAAATTATTTTAGCAGGTATCAAGAATTATATTTCTGGCATGGCATAACATGTTTGCATTAACCTCTTAACAATTTTCATTTTCACTGTTCTTTTTCCTTCCATTCTTCCTTCCCTATAAATTCCAAAGCAATTTTCCTAAATACTATTTTTATATTAATCTCCCATTTTAAACTCTTCTATGACTTCCAGACATCTACAAGTCAAAGTAAAGATAGAGGGGGACAATAACTCTTCGATTTTAAACTTGGTTCAATCAGTCTTAGGTAACTAAGTCTTGGCTTAGATAACTCAAGTACACATGTTTATCTTTCAGATATGCGATCTTTTACAACTGTCTATTAGATGCATCCTCAATAAACTCACTTTTACTATCACATGGACACTCTACACAATTTGTGAATAGCCTGTAACCAGCATTTTGGGAGGACAAGACAGGAGGATTCGTTGAGGCCAGGAGTTTGAGACTAGCCTAAGCAACATAGTGAGACCCCATCCCTACAATTAAAAAATAAATAAATAAATTTGTGGTGAAAAAGTAAAAGGCTAAATTATAGAAAATATGCTTAGTGACCTAAACAAGTTTGTTTTGCATTACCAAAATCATCCAAAGATTAGCAGCTCTTATTGTTAACTTACCTGCTCAGTGATAACATGAATAAGAAGCCCTTTCTGGCTTTCACTCCACATCCTTAACTTTTGGCTTTTCATCCTCATGTTTCTTGCTCCAAAGAAAATGGATGTACGCTTCACCCATGTGTTCACATTCAAGGAAAAAAGAGAGAGTCAGGGATGGTCCTAGCCATATTCCGACCTTATCAAGACACAAAATTATTACACAAAGCCGCCCCCGACCTGCCATCCAGCAAATTCCACTTATATCTCATTGACCAAATACTTAGCCTAATATCTGCCACACTTATATATAATGATGTATCTTTCTTATATATGTTATATAAGATATATCAATTGAGATATATAAGAAATATATATTGTGCATCCACTTCATCCCAGTGATGAGCTGAATTGAATTCAACAACTTTTTACTAAATGCCTACCACATGTCACAGTATAAATACATATATATATTTATATGCCATATATATACACATATATATACTTATATGCCATATATAAGTATATATATATTACACACACATATAAGTATATATGTTATCCATATATATACTTATATGCCATATGTTGTATATATATAAAATGTGTATATATATATATATATTTCTTACATATGTTATATAAGAAAGATGCATTAATAGAAAGAGATTATGTTTTTATCAGCCTCCAAACTGGCAAGGAGAAGGAAATTGGCAAGGGATGTTGGTGTCTTTCTTGGTGCTCTTTAGGAGTTAGGAAAAAGGATGCTTAGATCCATATGATGCCCTTGACAGTGCCTGTTGTCTAGCTGACCTTTGCTGACTTCATAAGCCTTTCTGGATTACTCAGGCTCATCTTGACCCTGAACAGGCTTTAGACCCCAGCCACACACTAATATCGGTGTCATCAACTTGATTCCTGCCCAGATGGCACAGCCTAATGCCTTTACTGTGGAGTTACTCATTCCCACTACAATAGCTGCTCACTTACACCTTATTCAGAAATTAAAAACGTCCTAGGAAGGTGCATCTCAGCAACTCCTTCTGCCTCATCATACTCTTCTATCATGTTTATTTGTAATATGGATCTACCACTCAACTGATCTGGAGACAGCCTACAAGTTATTTCCTTTTAGAATAAGACAAAAGCTTCCTGGTTCTTAGAATTCCATATTTTGTCCAGCAGCCCAAAGGTATTCTTCCCTCACTAGCTCAGGCTTGAGTGAGTTAATGGGGAGACAGTGAAGGGACTCTGGTATCTCTTTCCTCAACCTCTGTCTCTCTTCTCTATTCTTTCACTCTCAAATGCCCATCTGTTATCATTCTTTTCTTTCCTCCTGGTCATATTCTTCATCTTCCAAATTCCATTCTCACGGCTAAGCTTAAATATGCTAAGATGGTCTCTTCTATACAATGTGAAAAGAAGCTACAACATCTCTCATGCCCAGCACTTGATATTAAATGCAAATTAAAAGAATTTATAGTCTTTATTCTCTCAAAGCTATTGTATGTTGGCAAGAACCTGTTTATATGCCCAAAACTTAATATTAACTTTATTTGTATTCTTTCTGAAAAAGTCTTATTTTCAAAATATTATCCTGCTACAACCTCATGTTTATGTTTATATGAGATAAATTTACCCATGTATTTAAGCATGTATTTACTCATGTACTTAAGCATGCTATATGCATGTACTGTTTTTACTTCACCTGTCCCTTTCCATGTTTAGAAATCATCCTAGACATTCCTAAAGACTCTGTTTAAATGTCACCAAATTTAGAGAAGATTGTCAGCCTTTTCTTTGTGACTCCAAGGCATTTTGATAGTATTACTTATAGTTCTTTGCTTACTATAAATATTTGATTAATACTCTTTCCCTTTTGAAAAAGATCTATCATTTATTTCACTTATTTCCATAAATCCATGTAGAGATCCATGACTATATGTTGCATATATATTTGACAGCATGATTGCTTTTCCTAAGAATGTGTTTTCCTTTTAAGTACTGGTACATTTCAAACTACAGGTTGATTGTCACTACTCAACTGAATGCTTTGGGAGAACAGAATCATTCATGCCAAGCATTGGTATTTTCCAAATTAGTCTGTGGAATAACCGTTGGATATAATCTTCATTTTAGTTTTTTAGAATTGTTTTAACATACTCACCCATAATATTATTAGATGAGAAAAGGAAGATTTAGGTATTATCTCAATTAACTTAGTGTTTAAGAATATTTAAAATAATATTTCATATAAATGCTTATGAATTTCTAAACTTTTGAATTCTGCTGTCTCAGAAGTGTTTGCCTGATTGCGCAGAATAAAATCTAAAACTACCACAAAGTTCGGTAAAGAAAAAAAAAATTTCATGTAGTTAAAACAATAGTTTAAGATGTTACTATGCTTTAACTTTTATTTCTGGAAAAGATTCTTCAAAGCCATTATCATTCATCCTAAAGATAACTTATGTATCCATTCTTTGAAAACCTAACAGTTTAACGTGTATTCCCTGTCCTTTTTTGCAAAGAGCTTTATTTTTCAAAAGTCACCATTAGAGGACTTGCCTGGTTTTTAGCCTGGTGTTGGCTTCAATTCTCTTTGGAACAATAATCTCCCAACTGTAGTTACTACTTTTATCCTAGAAGCTCTTTCATCCCATGAGGCTTTCTTCATTATTCCCAAGTTTATCAACAGGGAAGCTGCAGTATTCTTGCAAAATGTCCAAAAGTTGTTTAAAGAGCATAAGTCATATTTTCCATTTTTATTTAAATTTATTTCTGATCCAGAGCCTTCCTTTTGGATTAAGACTAATTTCTTTGAAGCTCATGGTTTTCAAATGATAAATCCCACAGCAACATTAGCATCTAACACTTAAAAAGCGCCTATGGTGCATAAATTTTCATCAAACACTCTAAATATTTTCTGGTTGTTAACGATATGCTATATTTGAGTCACAGAAACATGGGATATATTAAAAAATTCAAAGGACAGAGAAGTATATTGAATTGAAAAGTGATAGTTCCCCTGCACGTTCCAATCTATGCTGCAAATCCTCTTTTCCTTGCCAGAAATAATCTTGGTGCACTGTCTTCCTATGCCTGTCCTGTATATCTCGCAGATGTATTTATTCATGTTGATGCTGCTTATTACACACTGGATAACAGAAAGGATGAAACTTTATATCTGGGTCAACATCTGGCTTCCATTATATGTTGGATGCTGAAGAAAATGAAGGAATACAAAGGCAAATTGCACTATTATCTCAGCCTCGATTTCTTTCTCTGATCACATACACACTAGGAAACACAACGCATAACACAGGCAGTTTTACTTAAATGATGTCATAATTTGCACATTATTCTGCAAAGTATTTTTGTTCTTACTACATCCTAGTTATCGTCCCATGTCAGGACATTCCTCATCTTTCTTAACAAGAATCTCGTAGCATGGATTTCTCATAATTTATGTAGCCATCTCTTAATTGATAGGTGCTTACATTGTTGATAGTTTTTTTTCTATTACAAAAATGTATTTGAAATTCATGTCTTTTTGCATGCATGTTTTTACATGTGTACAAATATTTCTGTAAGACAGATTTCACGAAATAGAATCAAAAAGTGATACAATATTTTGTTTTTGATAAATACCACTAAACTCCAAAAAGATCATAACAATTACATTTTACACTATATAATTCCAAGATTCCATATACCGTCACCAACACTTTATAGTAAATGAGAAATCTTTACATTACATATATATGAAAAAATATATTAAAATATGCACTCATGTTTCTAGTTCCAATTAGAGAAGTAACAATTTCAAAACCTATTTACTACTGAAAATTTAAAAGCACACATAAATTTTAACATAAGCAACACATATTATTTTCTGATTAAATAGGGTTACAACTGTGTTGGTTACATTTGAGGATGAGCTCCTACAACAAAAAGGATCCAAATACAATGGCTTAATAAATACAGAAATGAGTTTCTTCCCTGTAACAGAGCTGAAATGAATAGCTCAGATGTGTGGAACATCTACGCTATCAGCAGTCATTCAGAGACAGATTCCTACAACCTAATTGCTCCCCCATCTGCTGGGATACGAATGAAGCTGGACCCCTGCCACATCCAGAAAAAGTCTTAATGAGTTTTGCTGAACATTTTAATTTCCAGACCTAGACACATCACTTCTGCTCACATTCTATTAACCAGAACTTGTCCATCTAACTGCTAGAGAGGCTGAGAAACATGATCTAGTTCAGAGGTTTGGACTCAGTCACAACTTTATTTTCACGGGAAAAGGAAAGAACAGATTTTGGTGGAACTCAGCCTCCTTTACTAATGCCCCAATATCATAGAAATATTCAGATAACGGAACTAAATAAAAAAGATGGTATTTCATAAAGGCGAATCCAGAAGAATGCAGCAATTTCTATATTTAAAAAGCAATGTTTATATATATATGAGCTTTAAATTACATAGAAATTTTCTCCCAATAATATTTTTTAAACTGTTTACAACTGTTTTGTCCATCCTAGGCCATCTGAAACAACTAAGCATTTCTCCTTATCTGTGGAAATAGTCTATAAATATTTCAATGGCTTAAAGTTTCCAAGATCCCTGAAATTCTCATAACTTTTTCTTTAGTTTGTAGCAGTTTCATCTCATCACTTCAATCCTGGGCCACTTTTTAAAGGGTGACACAAAAGTTTATAACTACTTCACATTTTGAAACTATACACAAGTAAGCCTAAGAAGAATTAAATGTCTAGATATAAAATTCACCAAATGTATGCTCATTTGGTGAGGATACAGCAGGGGAAATCAATTCCAAAGCTGGGCCTGAGAGAGAATAGAGAAGGCTAAAACCCTCTCTAGTTAGACTTAAGTCTGTACTAGAAGACATGCCCAACTCCTGTCTTGCCGGCACAATGAATGCATTTAACTAAAGGCATACAAAAAAGCCCTTATTGTTTTCTGGAAGATGGTAAGACCAATAGAATAGCATAATGCCTTTTTTGGCTCTGACAGATGAAGTCACAGAACTTTGGCAACTCAAAGGGAGCAATAAAATGGCCCTGTGAAAAGGATGATTTGGAAATACAGTCATGACAGAAATATAAGATGCATAAATGTGATCAAGATTTACTGCTGGAGATGTTACCATAGCTTCTGATGTGCTGCCACTCTCTGCCATGCCTAGCAGCAGGATGTTAGATGAGAAGGGAGCCCATAATTAAATACCAATAAAGGTAATTTCAGGACTTCAGCCTGTGGCCTACTTCACTCTGCCCTCATAAAGAAGGTAGTCTGTGGAATTTATCCATGAGCCAAGGGTTGTGTGAAAGGTAATACAATGACTAAGTACTCAATATAAAACAGAGAGGAGCAGGTAGTTTACCATTAACTTTACCAGATGGCTTCCTTAAGCACAGTCATAAATAACAAGTGAATGTCACATAAAAAGAATTAAAGGAAAAGAATGGATGAACAGTTTACCACATGCCTTTTGCAAGATCTCTGATGATTTAAAGAAAT